ATATTTCTTTTTCAAAAATATATTGCTGGTAATATTTTTTCTATTTCAAAATGTATTGCTGGTAATATATTTTTTAATGCATTGCTGGTAATATTTTTTTCAAAAATATATTGCTGGTATTTTTACTATTTCAAATACTTTCATAGTGTTACAACCCCAGTTTGGTGGATGAACTATTTGCTCAAAGCTGGGATCCTAACAGGTGATACCACCCCGGGTCAGGGTGGACCTGGGAACAAAAGCATTTAAGAGATATTTCCATGGTCCTCCAATCTCCCGATCAGACTGCCTAGCTGCTGGTTGTAGTTTATCGTCATACCCAGGATGCATGATTTTCTGATAAAGACAAGTGATGTCGAAAATGGATATGTAGTGCCCGGGATATGGTGTCAAGGGCGGGTAATTATCAATTTAACGTATCAAAAGAATTGAATATGATTTAAATATCTTCCCGATAATAATTTTCTTACATTTTGCAGATTTAAATTGTTTTGATATTTGGAAACTTTCACTAAAAAGGGGAAAAATTGTCTCAGGCATTTTTTTGTTTGCTTTATTAAAAGTTGGGGTCAGAGACATAAAACCAAGTAAAATATGGCAAAAGGTTGTGTTAATTTGACTTAAACTTTTGTTGTGGGGCTTCAAAATCAATTTGATATAGGTAATTTAAAAAAAGAGAGAGTTTCAAATTAAACCTGTCATATATAACATTAAATAATTCCAATGACCTTCCTAGCAACAGGGGCAGAATAAACAACTAACCAGAATAGATAATGTAAAAATAAATGATTGTACATGTGCGAGTTTTGATTATCTTCAAACGATAATAACTTGACAAACACTTGGAGATAGAACAATAACCAATTCTGAAGTCACAAGACTGTCTAATTTCAGACTAGGTATAATAGAAATATAAATAGATATAGATATAAGACATATCGCTGGAGAAATGTTCGAAAATTATCAAAGGTTCACTTGTGAGTCGACCGTTCAACGCAAGAATGAACAGATACTCTTTTGTGGCGTTACTCAGTCGACAGTTTAACCACCAAATTCAACAACTTCCTATAATTCACGTTTCATGCAGCGTTTTTTTTTTTGTGAATAGCCATCACCCATTATCCGGTGATAATTCAGACTTGTTTCCCTACAGATTTCGGCTTTTCTTACCAAAGCTAAAATTTTCGTCGAAATGGAAGAGATTTCATGCCGAGGACGAGATTAAAGAGAACGTGACAAGGAAACTGAAGACATTCCGGAGAAAGGAGTATGTGGGCAGTTTTCAAAAGCGAATGGACAAGTGTTTGGGGTTCCAAAAGAAGTACTTTTGATATTAACTACTTTTGATACTAACTAAAGTGCTATTGCCATAGATAGGTTAAGCTTGCATTATTATTAAATGGTTGGGTGTTTTATGGACATAGTATATATATATATATATATATATATATATATATATATATATATATATACTATTCTTAAAAGAGTATATATATACATATATATATATATATATATATATATATATATATATATATATATACTATTCTTAAAAGAGTGTTCAATACAGAGTAAAGAAATATAATTATTTATTCGAAAATTATAACATAAATATGTTATAAAATCACTACAAAAATAGCCATTTTGTTTCAACAACTGTGCTGTCTTATCAAGTGTTAAGACACCAGAATTACTTGATAAGACACCAGAAGTGTTGAAACAAAATGGCTATTTTTGTAGTGATTTTATAACATATTTATGTTATAATTTTAGAATAAATAATTATATATATATATATATATATATATATATATAATGGAGGAAGTAATATGCTTAAAGTTTTTAATAATTTCTATTAGGGTGACTACATTAGGGTTATGATTAACAAGCTATCTTAAATAATTATTAAATCATTTTCACAGGAACCCCTTTATAATTGTGTTCTGTAAGATTGTGATAAGCTTCTTCCTATGCAATTAAATTGTCAATGCACATAACAGTTTTAAATAAAGTATATTCTCAATTATATAAATAGTAAAACAAAGAGAAAAAGGTGTTTTTCCGGGGGTAATATTTCGACAATTATTTTATGACTGACATTTTATTAAGCTTCGATTTCTTTTGTCTGCTTCTCAAATATCGATATCCAACACGTTAAAACTTGATCGCTAATGAATAACATTAACCAGTTAAAGATCTTTTTTTCTTTTCTCTTCGTGTTGGCAGATTTCCCTTTTATTGTGAACAAAAAAAGGGCGCTTTCGGCTAATTCATTATCTATTTTCAAGCGTCTGTAATAAATGTTTATCAATGTGTATTTTCAAAGATATTTTGCGAAGAAGTAATATTAATTCCAGACTGTGCTAGAGAAACGTGACTTATTCCATGTTAGGTTTGTCTTTTAAAAGATACATGTCTTACTACCGTTATTAAATAAAGTAAATTTACATTTGGCTTTAATTGTTTTACATAAATAACCCCAATTATCTTAAGACCTCGTCAGCAATTAGATTTCTTTAGAATAGCGGTGTTATCAACGAGAATTTTTCTAATTGAGGCGGGCAATATGTTGTAACCTAGAAAGGGTTACTGAATGAGGAATAACCAAAACGGAGGTTGGAAATGAAATGGTAATCTTTATAACATCAACAAAATACAATACTCGCCAGCGGCGTGAAGTAGGTAAACCACTGCTAGTGGTGGACTACTTAGACAGCATACAATAGTGTCCAAACGTGTTTATGAGGATTAGAACATACCCATTAGTGTTCATATGTACGGTGTATAAAACAATTTTTGTGGCTGCCAATGTGCTTTGAAAAAAAATTAATGAATTGGCCAAAAACACTTGGGACAGTTCCTGCACTCTCTTGGACTCTTCAAAAAAAACTGTAAAAACATTAGAAAAAGTTAATAGAAAGAATTAATAAACAAAAAGGTATCGTTAAATGTGGACGTAGGAGAGGGCGCCAACACATTCAATGAAAGATTTCCATTTTAATAAAACTGCAATTGTACTTTATTTTTGAAAGAATACAGTTAAACAAGAACGGAAACTATTCATGAATCAATCTAATAAATAAATAAAATTTTAAAAAGGAAAATATCAGAAAAATATTCATTTTTTTCTCCTCCGTCAATAGGAGTAGACAGGTTCGCCTATCATCCGGTTCACACTCTTCCCCAATTTTTTAACAGAAGTAGAGTTTCATCCTCTGTTTCCTGTTTAGGATTGGGTTTATGGTACCTTCAACTCTATACGTCTGAAGTCTACGCCTAAAATTTGAAATTTTCTTCTGTAATTGTTATTTTTCCTCTCCCAATAGGAGTAGACATGTTTCCTATCGCCCGGTTCACTCTTCTCCTCAGTCTTTTGAATAGGAGTAGAGGTTCATCCCTCCTTTCCTGTTTAGGATTGGGTTTCCGGTACTTTCAAATCTATACTTCTGAAATCTACGCCTGAAATCTGAAATTTTCTTCAGTAATTATTATTTTTCCTCTACCTATAGGAGTAGATAGGTTTTCCTATCGTCCGGTTCACACTCCTCTTCGGTCTTTTGAACAGGAGTAGTGGTTCATCCCTTGTTTGCTGTTTAGGGTTGGGTTTCCGGTTCCGTCTAAAATCTACTTCAACTCTATACTTCTATTTAACGTCTACTTTACTGAGAGCAAAATAAAATATTATTAAGGAGGTAGGACAATAAAAGAACAGGTTCCAAGAAGACAGAAGATGTTGATTGACACTACATTTACATTTCTGGAAGAGAGTTTCACTGTCGAGAAGTGCGAGAAAAGAAACTATTAAAATAGAACTTACGTTTAGGTCTATCTCTTTCAACAGCAAAACAATGATACTTAGTTTCCAATCTCGTAGTACCAGGGAGGAAAGCCCATTGGAACAATTGCCATGAAGATATTTAAAGAAAAGACAGAAGGCGGTCACGTAACGACGGTAAAAGATTTTACTTGAATAAACAAAAATAAAATAATCCTAATTAAAGATTATCATTGCAAACTCCATATTATACTTCATTGGAGAAAAAGTACATCGAACCAGTTATTATTATTTTAATAGTATTAGTAGTAGTCGTAACAGTCTTACTCCATCATATTATTATTGATTTTTAACAGAACACTCTGGGTCGATACACTTGTTATTGAGAATTTGATTACTTATTTTACTCTATTTTATAATAGTTGCTTTTAAAAAGATTTTGGTTCGATACTGTACAAATCGCTGGTAGTCTCCATTCTTCTATATAAATGTGAAATGTGGACACTATTGACAGAAACAGAGAGATGGATCCAAGCGTTTGAGAAAAAATGCATGACAAAACTCTTTGGCATCTTCTATTGGAACATAAAACGAATGAGTTTCTGCAGAAAAGGGTGGAAAATTTTGTGGGCCTCCAGGAATCTCTTCTCGCCACTGATAAACGGGGGGGGGGGGAATGGTGCGGTTTGGACACATTACAAGGTACGACAGCCTGTGCAAGACCATCATGCAAGGCAATGTTGAAGGGGGACGTAGGAGAGGGTGCCAATGCAAAAACTGATTGGACAACGTCAAACAATGGACAAGTATCACTATACCAGAATTGCTGATAGCTGCCGTTGATAGACCGTTGTGGAGGAGATTCAATATGGCTTCTGCATTCGGATGCCCGCTACGATTACAGAAGTCAAGGGGATGATGATGATGATGATGATGATGATGATGATACACTCCCCATTATTACTCGGGCATATGTTCATATAGGAATTCATACATAGGTCACTGTTTGCGGTATTTTATGTGGTCTGACATTGGCTAGTTTCCAAGGTTACCAGATTAAAAGATCAAAACGTATAACTGAATCAACAGATGGTTTTATTTCCAAAATGTTTCCGAACTGTTGAACTGTTTTATGTGACGTCTGTTGCAATTTTCATCTCTACTTCCGGTCACGAGTAATCCCCTTCTTACCAGAAGTCTAAATGGCGACGACCAAATTATCGCAATGTCTATGTACACCTCTCTGCTAGTTGATATTAATTCCCTTTCTTATACTCTCTCTCTCACTACCACTCACTTATTCACTCTCCCTCGCTCACTCATTCACTCACTCACTCACTCTTTTTGTTTACAGTGCTCTTAGAAACTCTCTATTTTGTCTCCGGATTATCGCAATGTCTGTATACTGAATAAAGGATCGTTAATCGTTTCAATATCATTTTTATTGTTTTCCCAAACATTTCAGCCGATCCAGTGTACAGCCTTCTCCAGGCGTACAATCTGTAAGGAAACAATAAAGAAATGAAGCCTAATAAATTGACCAGCATGAACAATTCCCGGAAAGCCACATAGACGATATTCTCAGCAATCACCGTAACACAGTTATGTGCCATGCGTGATACATGTATCGTAGGCGATCTTCGATCATCGTAGGCGATGACATGTGTCGTAGGCGATATGTCGGCGATCATGTATCTTTCGATACATAACTGACGAGGCAGATTTTCTTCCCGAAGTAGGTTGCCATTTCTTTCTGCAGTAGACCAGTTGCCATCCAAGGTTAAAGAACCCGGTCTTTCCTGCTATTTATCCATAGCTGGGGGAGGAAGAAGAGGATTTATGCCTTTCTCAACAGTATTAGCACGTAAATAAATGTAATAAATTCGATTGGAATTCGAACTCGGCTCTGCGTAAATGGATGACAGAACAGGTAATGGGAAAAGGATAGTAAAAAGACCAACTTGCCAAGAGCTACAAAGGTTAGGAAGTAGTGGAGAGTCATGATCAACTTACCTTACAATCTTGTGTAAATGGATGACAGAAACACTGGGAGCTAATGGAAAAGGATAGTAAAAATCAACCAACACTGTGAAATGGCTACAAAGGATAGGGAAAAGAATTGTAAAAGGATAGTCAATGAATGATCAACCCTACCTAACAATCTTGTGTAAATGGATGACAAAACAGGGAATGGGAAAAGAATTGTAAAAAGACCAACTTTGATAAGAGCTAATGAATAGGAAGTAGTGGAGAGTCATGATCAACCTACCTAACAATCTTGTGTAAATGGATGATAAAACATGGGATGGGGAAAAGATCGTAAAAAGACCAACTTTGATATGAGCTATAAAGGTTAGGAAGTAGTGGAGAGTCATGATCAACCTACCTAACAATCTTGTGTAAATGGATGGCAGAATAGAAAACGAGAAGGACAGTAAAACGCCTCACATTACTAACAGCTATAAAGGATAGGAAGCTGTGGAGAGCTATGATAACCTACGTCCTGAATGGACATGACACATAAATGAAGAATGGATTATTCTATTTTACCGGAGATCATATCACGTATAATAAGAGCTTACCAACAGTCAGTTATGTGCCATGCGTGATACACGCTTAGACAATCAGGTATCTTTCGATACGTTGACTGACGAGGCAGATTTTTTTTCCCGCAGTAGGTTGCCATTTCTTTCTGCGGTAGACCAGTTGCCATCCAAAGCTATAGAACCCGGTCTGTCCTGGGGTGGGGAGAACAAGAAGATTCATACCTTTCCCAAGGTTATTAGGACGTAAGTGAATGTAATGGATTCGAATTAGGTGAGTTTATAGTTATAGAAAGAAATTCGCTCCAATTCTCCCTCTTCTAGTTTCAAAATATCAAACTGTGCAGAAATGCATTCTGACTTGTCTTACACATCTGGTTGACAAATTAATGTTCGCCGCTTCCTTCAATTTTCCCACTCTCCAGCTGTTCTGTTTGAGTCTTATCCATAAAGTTACTCTTTTCTTGTTTAATGAGCCATTGATTTATTTACCTTCGTCGCATCCGTTCTGTATATCTTCGGAATTCCCGGCCAAATTTTCCCCGGCAGTTTCTGACTTGGCCCGTTGATTTTTCTCTCTCTGTGTCAACCTGCTCTAAGCAACCCAATAAAACATAATCTCTCCTTATTCACCAAACAATTGACCTCTCTCTGTCAATAAATACACACTCTTTTATGAATATAAATCAACTCATGTGTACTTTTTTTATGATAATATTATCTTTATGGGCCTCGCTCTATCTATAAAATAGCGGTGGCTAACGTTCTTTTGAAATACATTGTCATTTACATATTTGACTCCTTATCTGGCTAGAAACGTATTCTCTTTCTTCTCCTGTACCTCCCTCTCTCTCTCTCTCTCTCTTTCTCTTCTTTTTTCTTTCTTTTTCTTTCTATCTCTCTCTATATCATTCTCTGAAATTCTGTCAATAGAGTTTCTTAGTCAACTCCTCTCTCTCTTGATTTTGTTAATCTCTCTATTCCCTCTCTATTTCTCTCTCTGTCTCTGTATCTCTCGCTCTCTCTCTATCTCTCTCTTCCTCTCCCTTTTGCTCGTCCACTTCTTACGTAGAAAATATATTACGCATTTTTTCCTATTCTGCTAGTTAATATTAATTCCCTTTCTCATACTCTCTCGCTTACTTCCACTCACTCATTAATTCACTCACTCGCTCACTTATTCACTCACTTACTCTTTTTGTTTACAACGCTCTTAGAATCTGTCTATTTTGTCTCCATAACCTCTTGTTGGTCACTCTTTATCCCCCCTCTCTCTATCTCTCTCTCTCTATCTCTCTCTCTTTTTCTTTTTTTCTTTCTTTTTTTCTCATATCTCTCTGAAATTCTGTCAATAGAGTTTCTTATTCTCTCTCTTGATTTTGTTAATCTTATTCCCTCTTTTTTCTCTCTCTGTTTGTATCTCTCGCTCTCTCTCTATCTCTCTCTTCCTCTCCCCCTTTGCTCTCCACTTCTTAGAATTTTTCCCTATTTTGTCTCCATATTAATTCCTTTCTCTTGTTGGTACCACTCTTTAATTCCCCCTCTCTCTTATTCTATCTTAGAATCTGTCTCTTTGTCTCCATAACCTCTTGTTGGTCACTCTTTATCCCCCCTCTCTCTATCTCTCTCTCTATCTCTCTATCTATCTATCTATCTATCTATCTCTTTATATATATTTCATCAAGGGTAACACAACTTTTCATGCATAAAAAACATTCATATAACACTAGATACATACATAAAACAATGCATATATTCAGTTAAAAGTAAAATAAAATTCATCCTTGATAATGGCTAAGAGTATAGCCAAAAACGCTCGGACATACAACACATTTGAACAATTTTTATATAATTTTCATCCATAAGAACACAAGAAAAATTATATAAAAAAACTTAACCACTAGCTTGTCAGACATTTTTAATAATATTTATATAAATTTTCTGTTTTGTATATATATATATATATATATATATATATATATATATATATATATATATATATATATATATATATATATATTTACATTCAACATCATCACTTGATAAGACACCGGGGGTGTTGAAACAAAATGGCTATTTTTGTAGTGATTTTATAACATATTTATGTATAAATATATATATCCAGAGTGTGAGAGAGAAATACATAGATATATTAATAGAAGTCAAGAGAAGAGGAAAACCTTGTATACCAAAACGTTTCGTTCCTTGAGAAACTTTACCAAGAGGCCGCTCCGCATTACGCTTGCAAGAGGGACCTGAAACGCGCAGCGTCGACATTGGTCGTTGGGAACAGCAAGCAAAGTCGATCGCAAGAGTCACGAAGACTGGGTGTGGGGTGAAGGCGAAACCAACTGTTGGAGATCAGAAGAGAACAAAGGAGTCAGAGCAATCTCAGATCACCATTCCACATTCCACCTTCATCTTTCACACCTGCGGAAGAGAGTGTCATGTAAGTATTGGTCTGTTTAACCACACCAAACGCTGCTCTCAAAAGTACAATATTTGACCAAAAAAAGGGTATTACCATTATCTCACAAGATAAATGAATGCCTGCTACTTACTACTCTATTTTTTATTATATTTTCCATAGGTTTTTGGGACTGTCTAGGTCACTTTCGGCTATATATATATATATATATATATATATATATATATATATATATATATATATATATATATATATACCTAGTGAGCCAGACAAACCTACCTAGGTTTCACCTAAACGGATCGTCAGGAAAGCGTTCCCTGACGATCCGTTTAGGTGAAACCTAGGTAGGTTTGTCTGGCTCACTAAATATATCTAGGTTTGCTCTACGATTGTATTTAGCTCTTTTGTTAGTTAGTTGTTACTCGTATCGGGGTTTTTTTTTTTGGGCTTCAGACCTGCATCTGTGCGATTTTTTGTCGGCAGTTCATGTTTGTAGCTCTTTCTTTTTTAAAACCTTTTTTCCCTCGAAATTGATTTGATTAACAAATCAAAAATTCGAGGGTTTTTCAAAAACGAGTCTAGTTATTTATATTTATATGTATATATATATATATATATATATATATATATATACATTTTGTTATATATATATATATATATATATATATATATATATATATATATATATATATATATATATATATCAGGCATTTATTTGGTCTATATATATAATGGTCTGAAATTTGATTTTAATTAAACATTTACCGGCCTGAATGTTCTAGAAATGTCTGTCTCCTTTGTTGATAGATGTTTTTCTCTCTATTTTTTCTCTATTCCTCTCTCCTTCTTTCTCACTCCCTTCCTTTTTCCTTTCTCTCATTTCCGGTTTGCAAACTGGATTGTATTCTCCTTCTCTTAATTTCCTATTTGTTAGGTCATTATATATATATATATATATATATATATATATATATATATATATATATATATATATATATATATATATATATATATATATCATTAAATAATATAGACAAGTGTTGTCTGTTTATTTTATGAAACGTGCATGAATGAAAAGATGCTGCCTAAATACACACAATTTAAATTACATGATCCAGCAGCCCACAATACTATCAATATATATATATATATGTGTGTGTGTGTTTGTGTGTATATATATATATATATATATATATATATATATATATATATATATATATATATATATATATATATATATATATATATATATATATATATATCAGTCTGAAAAGTTCTCAGTCCGACTCAGGTGGTAAAATCAGTCTTCCGATAGCTGGTCATCGATATACTGATTTGTTGAAATGAGTCAACTGTATAATTATATATATATATATATATATATATATATATATATATATATATATATATATATATATATATATATATATATCCCGTTGCATGGATAGTATTTTATAACCCTGGATTCACGCTTTCATTTTCATTTTCCGATAGCTGGTCATCGATATACTGATTTGTTGAAATGAGTCAGCTGTATAATTATATATATATATATATATATATATATATATATATATATATATATATATATATATATATATATATCCGTTGCATGGATAGTAGTTTATAACCCCGGATTCACGCTATCATTTTCTACGGATATTGAACACTTTCCTCAAAATACCACGCACACAAACAATAATCACACACACACACACACACACACACATATATATAAATTCAATGTAGCCCCTTAGAGAATTGTGCAATTTCCTATTGTATTCAAGAATTGCCATTGGCTTGCTACCCTTTTGTAATGGGCAACGGTGCGAAATGAAAAGTTTGAGTAGACGTGTTCGAATTCTAGTCAAGTTTGTTATGTTCACTTACGCGCTAATCCCCGTGGAAAATTATAATTTCATCTCATCTCTAGCTTAAATAATAGGACTTGCATCTGGGGAACGCATTAGTATTTTCCAAAAACTTTAATGCAATATTCAGTCGCAAAAAAATATTATTCTTCCGATCCAAAATTTCATCTGGCTTTAAATAGAACACCAGGAATTAATAAGTCGTAATAAAGACACATCAATAATTTACTTACATTGACTTACCGTTTTTTTTTTTTTTTTTTTTTTTTTTTTATACGACCCAAATATAAGAAATGTAATCAACTTGTGTATTAATTCTTATCTAAAAACCTGATGAATATCCCGGGTTGCTTATTAAAAACGTCATTTAAACTAAGATAACATTATATTTTAATAGTTTAATTTAAAGCCTATTAAATAATATTTTTCACCATTGATAAAAGTTAATACAATTCTTTTAGCGGTAGTGTTAAAGATCAGTCTTATATTCTGCAATCATTTTCGATCAGTTCACCACCACTCCCAAGCAAGGCGATAATGCCACTAAGGCGCAAGGTTTTAGTAAGAGTGAAATAAAATAAGAAAATTTTAGGTGGGGGGAGAAAGGATAATAAAAGAATAGGTTTGAAAAGGACAGAATATGGCGATTGAATTTGTATTTAGATTTTCGAAGATCTTAATTGACAGGAACGGTAGTTCCACAGGGGAGAAGTGCGACAGAAGAAACTATCAGTATAGAACTTACGGTTAGGTCTAGCTATTTCGTCAGTAAAATGAAACCTAGTAGCCAATCTAGTATTATTCTTAAACTCATGAGGTCGGGGTACCAGAGTGGACATTAGAAAAATTGCACTATTTACATTATTCGGACTATTGTCCTCATCTTTGTCGCCATATTTATTACAACGCTTCGGCCGTTGTACGCTCCGGCCTTCTTCAGGTGGTTGGAATGTCGAAATGAACCCTTTATTTCGCTCACTGGGGTAGACTGTTCTAGTTCCACGTGCCATGTTTTAATGGATGTCAGTTGTCAATTATCTCCTGTTAATTCCCCTCTCCATCTTCTCCACTGCCTTAACCGGATATTGAACTCACACTCTTTTTGGGTCCTGTCACTGGATCTAACTAACGCCTTTATCCATGTGGATAAAATTCCTATGAAAATATTTATAGAAAAGATACGAGGAAGCTACGTTACGAAGTTAAAGCGACTGAAGCCTAAATTTCCAGGTCGGGACCGATAACATGACAGAACCATTATCAAGAATCTTGAGATATATAGCAGGAACTCCAGGCCAAATGTGGCAGTAATATTCAGCGCATCGACGAATATTAGGTTTTAAACGTGCAAAATGGGTTATGATGAGTAAGATTGTCTGGCACGACACAATGAACCGACTTTCCGAGGATTCAAAATGTCTGCTTCCATTGGATCATTCCATTTATAAAGCATTTTAAATAGTAATAGTAACCTGAAGAAACCCTTCCCGAATAGTTTTTACCGGGTGTGAAGGAGCGGCGGGAGAAAGGAAAAGTATTGGGAGACGAGACGTCCTCGTGAATAATATAGACAGAAATCCCTTTTTTTTTATTTCCATCCTATACTCCGCTTCTATGCAACATCTTATTATTCCTACCTTCTCCTACCGGTGAGAACACAACGTTATTATAGCTGTTTCATAGCGCCTTTTACAATTAAGTAGGGCTTATGAACTGGATGATTGGTGATAGCTTGAACGGGTGGAGACAGGTCTCCGCCTCCAAAGTCTTGTTTTATAGGGAAAAAGAAGCTATTGTAACAATAACAATATTAATAACGGTAGCGGGTAGAGCATTGAAAATCCGGGTCGGTGGAGTTACTATTTTAAAAGCTCTTTGTTACGTTTTGTTCATTAGTTTGTTTTGTTTTTCCTGTTGAGAAAATCTAAAAAGAAAAGGTTGTTGCAATTGACCAGTGTTAGTAAAAAAAAAAAAAAAAAAACAGATTTGACAGAGTATAGGTCAAAATGAGTACCTTAAACTTGTAAAATATTTGTTGATATTTATTTGAGACATTTGACAATCACCGAAGCGTGCGCGTTCGTGTTTGAATAAAGGAAAGCGTCTCCGTTTTGCCGAATTTCCTGAGAAGCAACTACCACATCATTTTGACATTAAGTTGGAATTGGAAAAGAATATGGTAGTGTTTGGAATTGGCCATGGAATTGGCAGAATTAGAAATGGGTTAGCTTTATAACTTTATATACTAACGACAACAGATATTTTTCAATCGATTCATTTTATTAATCGACTTTTTCCACTAACAATCGTTCTCAGATAGGTAGCAATTTTCTCTAGAAATTGGTTCATTTCGGAAGAAATATGGCCCAAGCTTTTGAATTCTTTAATTCATCATCAGGATAAACAGAGAAAAATAGTGAGTCTCAAAATGGTGCAACGAATAATGATTTATATATATATATATATATATATATATATATATATATATATATATTTAGGGTCGCGATTTTATATACTAAAATTAACTGTTAACTTCTCTTGTCGTTACTCTGAATTTCGCATTGCTCGCCTTAGAATTGTTATCTTTCAAATATATATATATATATATATATATATATATATATATATATAATATAAACAAATTTGATTAAAAATAATTTGGGGGATGTGTTGAGTATTGCACTCAAAAAAGAGTCAACTCATTACTCGCAACTGGAAAAATCAATAAAAATGAAACAGATTTGTCAGTCCTTTTTAATCTAGTTTGTATGAATACCTCCTGCCTAAATATATATATATATATATATATATATATATATATATATATATATATATATGAAGAAATATAGTGTTAAGATGTGCTATATTTATGGGATAAAGTGCTCAATATCAGAGATAGAGCGTGAGTAAATATAAAAGTGAACATAGAAGTTAACACTTAGAGGCGACAGTCTGTTTCATGCTATATGCAATCCAATGCTAGAAACGATCGTCAGGCCACGAGTAAATAACAGTACTGGATTGCATCTAGCCTGAAACAGACTGTCACCTCTAAGTGTAGACTTTTATGTTCACTTTTATATATATATATATATATATATATATGTGTGTGTGTGTGTGTGTGTGTATATATATATACATATGTATGTTTGTTTGTGTGTGTGTAATCTGTATCCTGAAGCTAGGCAGTACATACACTATTACGCAATGGATTACAGGGTGTGAAGAAATCAGAAAAACAAAAACAATAATGACGAGAAATAGAAAAGAGTAATCAGGAGGACAGTAGATAGCGATTGACATTGCATTTAAATTCTTGCAGATTAAAGCTGACTGGAAAACATGGGTCCGGGTGGGGGTGGGGGGAGTTCCACAAACGAGAAGCATGGACCAATGGTAAACTTATAGATATGCAAGGTAGATTCTGGAGAGAAAAATTGTCTCACTCGACACAGTAAACTGACTTTCTTAGCAGCTGATCTAGTCACTTTCTTGGTGGATAGCATCAGCCATGCCGATGGAAATTAGAGAAGGGTCTCTCAGATGATTAATGGAGAGAAGTTTAGTTTGGGAGGCGTTAAAAATGACAAGCCATCTGTTGCCCCAGTTAACGACGTTCTTGAGGTCGTTTTTTGAGACACCAACTCCCATTTGACCATGTCTGACTGCATATATATATATATATATATATATATATATATATGTGTGTGTGTGTGTGTGTGTGTGTGTGTGTGTGTGTGTTGCAGTTATTCGTATATAAATGTATCCAATTGCATTAATACACACACACACACATATATATATATATATATATATATATATGCATGTATGTATGTATGTATGTGCGTGTTTGTATATGTACACAAAGATCTTTTTTAAGCCTAAATCTTGTACTATTTATTATCGTCTCTGTTACTGGGCTGTGTCAGAGTTTGCTGTATGTGTGTGTGTCGGCCGCCCTCAAACGTCTGTGTGTCTCGAGGCTTGGGTCGCCATTAATACAATACATAACGAACGGATTACAACCGAGGGATCATTGAAAACTAACGAACCGAAATTCCTGGGTTACGCCTCGTTGTTTCATTGCCCCACCATCGTTCCACTCCCCCTCCCTCCTCCCTCTCCCTTCACACTCACTCTCATTCAGCAGAAACACTCTCCCTGCTCCTCAGCCCTTACTCCCGTATTCTCGTTAGGCTCCTCCCACTCCTGCTAGAGGTTTCTTCCTAGCAACCTCTCTTATTCATCTCATGTTTACGACTTTCGTTATCCGAA